CATGGACTCATCCACTTGTAATCTTTTTTTTTGGAAGATGAGCAGTTTCCCAGAACAACTCTTTGTCACAAGATGCTGATTGGTGACACCATAGACGTTTTTTCTGCTCACTGCTTTAGACTGAAAAGCAAGTGGTGATGAACCTATTTGTATCTTACCACCTGAGGTATATCACAGAACTGATATGTTGAAAGATCAACATGCAAGTGCAGTAGCATGTTTTCATCTCAAGTATTTTGGCTGGACTCTTCAGTGATATGTCCATAGTTCATCTCCAAGCTCATTCAGTCATTCCTACATTTTCCCAGCAGGGCAACTGTAATGACGATGGGACTTCTTTAGTGTGGATCTTTGGCCACTGAACAGAATAAGAGTTCATGTTTCAACACAGGCCATTCTATGACTCTATGACTCTATGTTCAACTGAAGGCCTTATATCTCAGTTTTCACTGTTTTGGAGACTCTAATTAATTTCTCCTTTTTCATTTATCCCTTCTCCAAAGAAGCCATTAAGCTATTTAAAGATAGAAAAGAACTGGATGAAAACTTGGTGATTAGAAGACAGAAAAGAACTGCTGAAAAGAATGCAAAACCAAAACGCACCAAAAAATCCCTGACACCTAGAGGACTTTAAACATATGTTATATATGATTGTAACAGCTGCAGACCTGTTGACAATATAATACCATTGCAATCCCCAGGATATATCTCAGATACTGAATTTCAGACTGCAGAAGAATGGTGCTTGAAGATTCTTGAAAAGAATTATGTTTGGGACCACTGGAAGGAGAAAGAAAGCTTAAGTAGAATAGAGAGGAAATATTCTGATGGTCCAGTTCAGAAACTACAAATATGGAGTGGTAAAAATGCCCACAGTAAGCATATTCATCTGGTATGCAGCCTTTATCTCATGTTGTAAGTTTCCACAGTTTATTTTCTTTTAGTGCTAAGAGAGACTGAAACACCACAAGTCTGTGGTAAAGGCTGTTGATTTTGTATTGATATGATATTAGTAAGTAATGAACACGTGAATATTAAAGTATCAACAGGCAGAAAAATATCAGTGATAGAACTGAAGAATATTGAAATTCCTCTTTATTTATTTATTTATTTATTATTTTTTATTTTTATTTTTCCAATGAGCAACTGACAAGAGTATTAAAAAGGCAACATTTTATATCTTTCCTCTTCTTTGATTGTAGCAATGTTTGCTTTCAGGAACAAATAAGTATAAAGCATACATGCTTCAAATTTCTGCTGGGAATTAAAGCTTCCACGCTGTTAATACTAGCATTCTCTTCTCTCTAACTCAGAAACAAAGAAACAAACAAACAAACAAAACAAAACAAAACAAAAACCATAAAATCCACCCAAATTCTGGAGTAATAAAATAAATTGTGTACAGTATTATATTTGTTTATTATCTTCTGCTTAACTCATTACTTTCACGAGATAAACAGCTTTCAGAAGAGATAAAAAGCTCTGTATTAACACCTAACCCCTAGAAATGCCAGCTGTCTTCATCATCCTCAATACACTTGCATGAGACAGCCTACCCAACAGCAAAGTAGTGCCCTGGTCCTCACTGCTGAACGAAGGGAAAATGAAGCCTCTTTGCACTACCTACTTGCTAAGACAACCCTGAAACTGATCATGAACAGTGATTCACAGTCCTACAGAAAATGTTCAGATGCAGTCTGTGCCCCGCAAAGTGCTTGAAGCAATGTCCATTCTTCTTGTGAGCATACCTTGCTATTCTGTATGTGATCTGATCACAGCACTACCAACTGCTTATGTGAAGGTTGGTCTGAATTCCACCTTAAAAAGGTCCCAAATGCTTACCAAAGGGCAGATGAAGTTTCTGGAAATGTTTGTTCACTCTTCCCACACAAACATATCCAGTGTGATTTGTATCAATCTTACTTTAACACCTTGCAGAGAGGATGAGCTCATGACAGTGGAGAGCAGTGGACATGGGACAGTGGGGTGAAATAGCCACCTGTGGAGCATTGAGTCATCAGAACTAGCTGTCTAGTTTAAGATGAGATGACTGGGAATAAAACACACAGTGAGGTTTGAACAGACATTAATACCAACACTGTAGATATTTATCATTTGTTAGATTAATCTCACCCAAGAGCAGGGCTTCAGGAAGAACCCAGAATACATGACTTAATTGAATGCAGATGTTTCCAGTATCAGGGATTTCCATTCCAGTTTTAGCAGCAGATGTAGAAACGCAGACTAGGAGAGATCTAGTAGTGTATTATCTCTGTGCATAGAAGATTGCTGTCCCATCAGTGATATTAGTCATTACAGAACAAGGACCCATAACGCTTCCAGGCAGGAGAGCTAGTGGCTGATGTTCAACTGTACTGGTGAAAGTAATAATACAAGATCACATGTGACAGAAAATTAGTACCTCGGAGTCAAGCACCAAGCTCAGTGCATCCCACTGTCTGTCAGAATACCCCATATTTGAAAACAGATTTAATATGTCATTACACAGAGCTCAGCTTTCCCTTCCGGCTCATTTGAGTTAGACAGAATAGCCAGAAGTGTGAAATGGAGTTAAAAAGGAGAAAATGACTGAAGGTTTCTACTGTTCAGGAGTGACAGAGTATGAAAAACCCAGTCAATTTGCCTGTAAAACAAGTTGCAAGAGTTGGAAAGGAACACCATAGATGTCTACAATCTGTCCTGCAGCAGTGGTTGAACAAAACCTGTCTTCTTTCACAGAAGAAGGTCTGTCAGCACTCACATCAGCAACTTCTACATTTCAGCTGAGGGGCAGTTAGGAAAGCTGAGCAGTGGTAATTCGTAACTTGTACAGAAAGCTGTTTTAGCTGATGTTGACCTATTCCTTCTTTAGAGACAGCAAACAGCAGGAAAGACCAGAGAAAACAGACATGATCCTGATGGATGCTCCAGATCCTCCAGGAGTTTAGAGACATTCATAAGCGTAAAGATTTCTTGGCATAGCAAGCTTCCCCATCTCCATTTGCAGTTTTTTTGTAAGTGGAAGTTTCTTTACAGATGGGGAAGATTTTCAGTACAGAATAAACCTGTGGTAGTGCCCATTTCTGATGCTGTTTATAAATGCTTTCAGAACATTTTTTTCTTTTAAATGGTTTGAATATAACTTGGCAATAATTGTTAACGGCATTGTAAACAGTCATTTTAGACTTTTACTTCTTCTTTTCCAGGTTTAGAAGTTGCTTCTGACTCTGGGCATGTCTGCATACAAAATGTGTACCTCACCATACAGATACAGCAGTTTCCGTGGAAAATAAAATGTCTAACACATACTTTCTCACATCTCAGATAGGCCAAGCAAACCAGACAGTCATTATAAACCAAAATTATTCTTTTAACCCTCAGAACTGTCAGGTATTTGAAACTGTGCAACCTGCTTTTGTGTGGAACAGCTGCACAAGTGGCTACTTTTTGTATCTAAATGGCCAGCTGGTATAAGTAAAAATAACAATTATATAATAAATAATTACATAAAAAATATTATCCTATTCTTTCACACTATTTTGACCTCTGGTATATATAGGTCGTACACTGCAATATTTATTTTGCTTTTATTGGTAGCTGAGTCTGAGCTGGGGTTGAATGGACTGCAAAATCTTGCCAACACATAGTAAATTCAAACATAAATCACAGTTGGGGAAATGCTAAAGCAAGCTTAAGCTTGTTTTCCAGGGAAGAAGCTTTACAAGACTGAACTTGCTGGCAGTAATAATGCTCATCCTTTCTTGAATTATATTTCAATTTTTTTTCCTCCTTTTTTTTCTTTTTTTTTTTCAGAGAATAGTTAAGTTGCAATTTTAATGCTTTTAGTGAGCTTCTGGAAATCAGTATCAGAACGTTATTTACATCATTAAGCCAAGCTGTGTCTGGAGAATTTCAATCACATTACTTTTATGAGATTCTACAAACTGAATGCTGAAAAGTCTTCTCTGGCACTTTTCTTTAAAGCAGAGCGGGGAGCAGAGGGAAGGGGAAACCTGAGAAAAAGAGTGAGAAACTTTGCACACCAAATGCATGTTTCAGTGGTCAGTATTAATGGTTCCTCAGTGAATCTGTATGAGCATGATAGCCTTGCTGCAGATTTGATTTAGAATAGATTTGGACATAAGCTATGCTCTAATACTAAATTTTACTTCACAAAATCCACAGTTAATTTGGCCTTAATGAAAAAGAAATGTTAGTAAGTGGATGGTAAGATGTACAAGCAATTCTCCAGAGCTGTAGAGAGTGTTTTATGCCTCATGCACAGTACAAAGGAGACAAAAAATTTGTGTGTATGTATAACAGGTATGCAAATTTTGAATCTGAATGAGAAGGAACGTGTCATCAATTTCAAAAATTGAATTCAGGAGGGGAAATTGGCAGTATCATGTTGATGAATATAAAAAAAGAAATGATAAAAACCACCATTAAATTATTAGTTTAACATAAGTGGTAATTCTGACACGAGCACATTAGCAGTAGACATGGCAAATCATGACAGCACAGACCGTGCCATACTCATCATCATTTGTATTTCTGTTATTTGTATGAAGAGAAAGGCTAACAAATTAGCCTGGCAGAAAAAAAAACTGTGAGAATGTCCAGGTGCTCTGTCATTCTCGAAGAGCTTTTACCCTATATTTTATTAAAGTTATATGGCTTGCTAATGGAAGCAAGGTAAAGTTGCAAACCACATTCTATTCTTAAGTAATCTTTCCAATGCCATTAAAGTCAACAGAACTGCATGGAGCAACTAAAAGCAAAAGTCGTCCTTATAGACCCCTCTAGAAGCAACCCAACTATTAGCAGAGACTTTAATCTCCTGGCAGAGGTTAAAGTTGTATTTCTTTTCCAGGTAAAGTCTGATAGGATGGATTCTAATTAGATCTTGCTGCTTTTATTTATTTATTTATTTATTTATTCTGTTAAGCTGTTTAATTTCCAGGTAATTGATGAGTCTGTCTGACTACTGATATATTAAAAGTGGCAGCAATATCTCAGAATGGGCTATCTTTTTACTGAAGACCAATAAAATCTAATCACTGTAAGTGGGTGTGGGTAAAAATCAGAACAAAAGGAATCTCAACATATCTTAACAGCAGTAATGTTTGATATTTTACGTCTCCAGTCAAAGAATGGAACAAACATTAACTAATTAACCATTGAAGCAATTCTACACCTTTGCAAATACTTTATATTTACTTTTCTACTGTAGTTGTCTTTTTGTAACTGAGAAAAACAAAACACAAGCATACACAAAAATAATGCATTACGCTTGGCATTCTTTTTCCTAAGATTTCCACTATTTCTAGACTAAAGGACTTCATAACATTCACCTTTGTGCCACAAGTGTTTTAAGGATGGTTTTGTTTCAAGTTCCTATGAAGCACAGAAAAGGGGAGTGGATCTGGACAGAGATTTCCTAGGCAAACTTGACGCACACAAATCTGTGGGCCTGGATGAGCCCCAGGAGTGCTCAGGAAGTTGGCAGAAGTGACTGCCAAACCACTTTCTATCCTATTTGAAAGGTAATGGAGAACAGAAGAGGTGCCTGAAGACTGAAGGATAGTCAGTGTCATTTGTGTCTTCAAAAAGGGCAAGAAGGAGGATCTGGGCAACTACAGGCCAGTCAGTCTTCCTTCTGTTCCTGGGAAGATAGAATAACTTATTCTGTATATCATCACAAAGCAAGTAGAAGAGAAGGTTGTCAGGAATAGTCAACATGGATACACCAAGGGGAAATCATGCTCAACTAACCTGGCAACCTTCTATGACATCATCACCAGCTGAATGGATGGGGTGCAAGTGGAGGATGTTGTGCACCTTGACTTCAGTAAGTCTTTTGACACTGTCTCCCACGATGTCCTTGTAATGAAGCTTAGGAAGTGTGGGATGGATGAGTGGACAGTAAGATGGATTGAGAACTGTCTGACTGGCAAGAGTTCAGAGAGCTGTGATGAACAGTGCAGAGTCTAGTTGGAGGCCTGGAACTAGTGGTGTTCCCCAGGATCAGTACTTGGTCCAGTGGAATAAATTGAAGAGGTTGGGGTTCTCATATGTTTTTCTCTCACACAATTTATACCATAGGGCATGCAGAAAAGGTCACAATTTGTCTCATATCTGGGTTACAAAGATAGGGGAAGGGAACAATTGCTGAAAGGCACTGGCTGCCTGCTTAGGGGATTTAACTTTTTGGCCTTATAGAGGCTTTTCATTTTTCATGCTTGACCCCATTGTAACCCCACAGATGTTATGGATGAAAAAGACTGGGTATAGAAGAGTGGCGGATGCTTTAGAGAGTTATCACGGTTTACTGCATAGGTGTGTGAGGGAAGAGAGATGTGAATTCATGTATTTATTTTTTAATAGCTGTGAGGATTGGGAGAACTAATTTACACTTTATCTGTGTGTTACTTTATAATAGGGAGATGTCAGAGTAGGACTCGGGAGATACCTAGTTAATATTTCTGTACTTTATATGGAACAGGAATTTTAGAGAAGTCTGTCAATATTTTAGAGCTCACCTCTGTGAGGAGGATTTCAGGGCTTGTTTATATCTAATTTGTCATGTTTGTGTATATTGTGGTGAGTAGCTGATTTCATGGCCATGAGGATTAAAATAGTGTTCTTATGTCTGTGCTTTGCTAGTGTTGTATGGAAAATGTGGGAAAACATCCCAGAAAAATATTTATCCATTCCTACATCTGTGTGCACTAAGTGCTCCAGGACGGCAATACTCATCTTAATTTTCTAGTCTTACTTGCTCCCATACATGGAGGCTTCAACAGTGAATACTATGGAGAAGCAGCGGCAGAGAGCATTTGTCCAAAAACACAAAGATGGTACTAAAGAAAGACTTTTAGTCTATGTGACATGCAGTACCCTAACACAGGAAGTCCCAGCACACAATGCACTTTTGGGCCACTGCACCATGACATATTACAGTGTGACAAAAATGCAGATTATGTGAGCTGGGAAAGTGTATGTGCAAAAAGACACAAAAGGGATGTGCTACTGCCATCAAAGAAAAATTTGTGTCATTATTATGCCATATTTTTATAATTCATACTTCATGTCCTTTCCATAATTTGAGATCATGAAGCTGTACAGACATGAGACACTCTGATGGGCCAGGAGATGAGGGCTTCCTTGCTGGTAAGGCGATGCAGATGTGTATCCTAAATGACTCCTGAGTAAAGATGTTGTGGATGTATGAAGCGCTTCTGATAAGTCTGTATCTGAGTGACTCACTCAGTGTCACAAAGAGGTCCTTGAGAAAACAGGAATTGCCCTAGACACAAAAATGTAACCTATGAACTAAGCTGCCCTCTTTCTCCTCTGTTTTACAATTATGACCATGCCAGTGAGTGGAGAAAACTAGTACAGGCAGAAGCCCTCAGTGCTCAGTACCTTGTATCCCTTTTAACCATATGCAAGAATTGACTTCACTATCAGAAATACAGACCCTCCACAGACCTTGAGTGAAATCTTGTCTCTAATGAAATCAAAGGAAATTTTGCCGTCCTCTGTGGCTTTAAGTCCAGATTTCATCCTTTAAATTTCTTATTTTACCTGTCTTGGTAATATGAGTTGAGAGTAGCTGTGTAAATCCATGAAGGAAGCTTTTCCAAAATTGCTTTATTACCTCAGCCTTCTAAACAGCTGGTTTCTTTCTGAGGAAAAGCTGACAACTACACCAGACTCTGTTGAATTATGTATTGTACATCTGGGGAATAAGCTGCAATATGCAATGCAGTGAGCAAGGCTTTCCATATGCATTTGTCTAAGGATAAGACAGAAATCCATGTCCAGTAGGTGATAAACCCAGTAGTTGGTGTTCCAATTAGTTATGGCTGTGTTCAAAAATAATACTTTGTAAGAGCACATTAAAGGCAATGAAGCACAAAATTACACATGCAAGTATAACTCAAGACACTGAGCCTTGTTATCAGAAAAGGATTCTTATAAAATAGCACAGAAAGTAGTGCTGTTTCCAGGGTTATTTTGCATTCTGCCTTCTAAATTATGACCCTTGTAGACCAGGGGAGTAGATGAAAGAAAGATTTCAGTCAGGCATACCAGTGTTGTACCTCAGTGCTGTAGGACTACACAGAACCATACATTCTTTGACTATGAGAGATCTTCCTAATTTTGAGGATCTTAATCTTCTGTAGCTAGAGAAAAAGTGAATGTTGGACCCTAACACTGAGTTATATACCTGTGAATCAGTATTGGCCTATTTTTGCACTGAGGTTTTACAATACAGGTTACAGGTTAAGTGTATTCAGCATTAAAAGCCCAGGAAATTACAAAAAAAGAATGCCTTTATCAGCACTCACCATGTAGGCTCACTCTACCTGAAAGACAACCCAAACTCTCTGCACCTTCCACAGCTACAGACAATGGACTCACAGTTGTTCGCGGTACAGATGATCGCTCTAGGAGCTTCAGAATCTTTCCATTTATACAAATAAATTCACAGAGCAATTCACAATTCTCTGCCATGAAACATGTGGCCTTGAACTTCCTAACTCTAATTAACATTCCATTTCCCCAAACTATTTTCCTTCACCCCTGGCATTTCTAAAAGAATTTGCTACTGCTCAGTAGTATATGTAGGCATTTAATACCTATAAAGATGCTGGGTATATTCAGCCTCTGGATATTCCCTTGAAAGATGTAGTTCAGGTTAAGCATCTGCTCTGTAGGTGGTTAATTAGCAATAAACAAGTTGTCTTCTACATGTTAACAGCAATAATATTTTAACACCTTTCCAGAATAGGAAAATCATCCTTCTTTTCAATAGAGATTAGTTGTTATTTGGAATTTATTATCATTAATTCCTTCAGATGGTTGCAGTGGTGCTCAGAGAGGCTGCAGGTTTTGGCCTGACCACAAACACAGATTTTCTCATTGACAGAGACTGCATGCATTTATTGCATAAAAAATACAATTGACTCTCCTAAGATAAAGTGGGTGATGGAATACAAGATGGAAAAATGCTCCAAGGCACGGATACTATTTGAATAAGAATACTGCAGTAAGAGGAAGAAAGCCTGACAAAAGAAGGAGTTGACATGCTAAGAGCATCAGGGAGGAGACCAAGAAACTAACAGAGAATTCTGATCTGTGTCAAAGATCAGCTGATGCTGAAATATGAAGAATGCACTAACTATGACACTATCTCTAGATTTACATTTTCTACTACATTACACTTAGAGGAGAATGCCAACTAATTCAGAGAAGTTTTAGAGACAAAGGTAAGAGAGGTTATGAAAGTTGGTGGTCTCAGATGGTGCATTTGTGTTTTGCAGTAAAGAAGTGCCATGAGATGGAGGGCACTCCCTGGCTATAAAGGCCTCTGCTGCCATTCAATTGTTACCTGAATGTGGAGATAGAAGTAACAAAATATGACAAGTGAATTTAAGTATCAAAATAACAAGTGTATAAGTCTGTATTTTTCTTTATTTGTCCTTAAAAAAAACTAGAAGGGCTCAGCCTAGGAGCAGTGAAACAACTTTGGAAACTGAGTAGAATATATGAGAGCAAGACGTACAGAAGAAATCCCACCTAGAAGCACTGGCACATGGACAGCAAGTAATGCTCACTGGTTTAATGGCATTTCAGCTTGGAGAAGACAATAGAGGTAAAATTCCACTAGATGGAATAGTTGAAGCAAATATTAACAAGCCATGTGTGGAAACATAAGTTTTGGGCCAATACATCCTATTATTTGCTTCACTTGGAAGAGAAGAAACACATGAAATACATCTTGCAAGTGTTTGGGAACGAGCTGAAGCAGTGCTCTTAGAAGGCCTTCCAGTGTAGGACTTGAGTAGACGAGAACATTTTTTTTTCTATGGCCCTATGGATTGAGAACCAAGGAAATTAAAAGTGATTTTAGTTAATACAGTAGTAATAGTGGTAATAGTTTTATGTTTATTATAAATATATCCATATTCAGTGACTGAATTATTTTAAAAAGTGGATTATTTAAGGTTCTGAGTTATATTTTTAAAGCTCTTCAGTTTCAAAATGAAAACACTGTTTTGAATACTTGTAAAAAGCTGAAACAAAATATCTCACTCAAATGAAAGCTCTTTCTTTTGAAAACATACAAAACATTTCAGCATTTTCAAAAATTTTGTTTCTTTTTCTTAAAAATATTCACAAAATCAGTAAGAATGTTTTGAAGATCTGATTGCCAGCTGTTGGTAGGAAACTGCTAATCAGTCTGAAACATTTTTGTGTTGTTGTTTGTTTTGTTTTCTGAATTTATTACGTTTGAAAACATTTTATCCTGCTCTCAGGCAAACCCAGATGAATGGGAGTTTTGGTGGGGCCCTGACTCTCAGGGAATTGCTTTATCTATAGACCAAGATAATATCATGATCGGTATAGGACTGTCTGGGAAAAGACAGAGAACTCCTTTCACCATGTCTCACTTCCCCCTAAAAGCCTCTTGGCTTTCACCTTTTGTTCCTAGCATTTTTGACACAACACCATTTTGGAAATTGGAAACCAAGGCTACCATGGTCAAGCAATATGTCTCTCTCCTTTGTGCACCTGGTCAATAGTCTCTTGTATCATTGAACTCAGGGCACAGATGGCTTACATAGCTGAAAGACCTACCACACTCTTGCTGCAACATGATCCACTACCAGGATTTGGTTCCTTAGGCAGAAGATATTAATTGTAGTTAGACTGGATGACTAAAATGCTCTAATGAATTTCAATTTTTTTTCCATTAAAACTCTGCTTAGAGAATACAACAATTTCAATGCCTCTGTTATAAAGACTAATGTTCATGTGTTTCGTATGATATTAAGGCTTATAGAAGGTGTTTTTGTTGCATAACAGCATTTTTTGTCAATGTGCATTTCCTAGATATCATTAGAATTTTAGAGTCAATAAAAAAAAAGTCATGAGGTTTACTGAAAAGCATTAAGCCACATTTATTCTGCTGAATTGGTGGAGAGGCACTTCCAATAACACTCTAGTCTGAACCTAACTCCCACTTTCATCACTGAAAGTCATACAAATATATTAGATGCATAAATGTCTTCCTGAACCAATTACTCTTAATGGCATACACATAGCAAAAATCAATGTCACCATTTTTAAGTGATGCATTCAGAATGTTTGAGAATTGACCTCTACTGCATTCATTCTTTTTCAAAACTTTTGCCTACTAATGTTATATTTGCTTTTGTAAATCATGACAATCTGTTATCAGTAGATAAGCAACATTCTCCTGCAGTGTATAAAAAGGTATTAAGGACCAAAGACAATTACAGTACAATCAGGCTTGGTGCATCAGCTTCGGAGTTGGTCTGAAACTGTTAATTTACTTGATGCTTGGCAGAGCTGGAGATTGCTTACAGGAAGGGTAATTGCAAGCTGAAAATAACAAGCTCTGTGGACTTGTTTTAGATACTCCTGACCATCCAACCTGTGTGTCAGAGGTTATCTCAGGGTTTTGGATGGTAGCAGCACTATCCACTCAAATTTCCAAGTTATTATCTAAATTGACATAACCTATTTTTCTTACAGATGCTTTGCTTTGTTTTTATTTTTTATTTTTTCTAACAAATAACCTGGAATCTATACAACATATATTGGTGCTTTTCAGAAAACTCATTGTCTGAAAAGTGACATGTTTTTGTTTTACCTAGTTGGCATTCGGGAACAGTTAGGAGAATATTTATAAATAAAGGGAATTTCATCACTTGTTATATTTTCCTGTCCATGTAGCATGTATAGATCTAGATCTTGGCACCCAGCATCTCTCATCAAGAAGCTGAACTGCTGGGCCAGGAATGGACAATTTCTGTGGAAAAAGAGGACAAACAGAAGCCAACTCAGCTTCATATGAGTAGCCATATTACTGAGCTGGGCCTCCATCTCGTGCTTGATGTACTTCCATTTGTTGGTTGTCAGTAGTGTGATACATACAGACCAGCACTTTGTGAAGAAACTCTACCCTGGGAAGTAGTGATTCGGAAGAAGACACACAATTCACTGGAATTAATAACATCCAAGATCCGTGCTGCCTAAATGGACCTTTTGACTTGTATTGCAATTTTAGATGCAAAAACATCACTGGTGCTAAAGCAGATAAAGCTTTTTATCTGCTCAGTAGATATACCCAGGAAAAGGACATGTTGGAACAACTTAGGCCTGGCTGTCTCTCTGAGGGAGCCCAAAATCACTTGCCTCCATTGAATCTAAGTAAGAATCTAAGAAGTGGGGGGTACTGACCCATGGAGAACGGGCTCTCATGGCTACATCTGTACTAATTCATCAGAGATGTTTGGAACAATCTGTTACTGAATGTGGCTGGATAGCACAGTCTGGAGGCATGCTGCAGTAAGCCCTCTTACTTCCCAAGGCAGGGTAGCTTCCTCTAGAATATTAACCACAAATGTTTCTTCCACGGAGGCCCATAGAGCTATCACACAAGCTCTTCCTGGGAGCCATTTGGAAGAATGCAATTTAACCTTGGAGGAAGATACCTTTAGGAACACTCTAGCAATTGAATTCTATAAATAATTATGTCCCAGAATTCCAAACTTTCCAGCCTAGACGTAGCCTGTGTCTCCAAAAGCCAAATGCAGCTGAGTCAAACTGGATGCTACGCAGAAGGCCCATCTCTGGCGTGGATCTAGATGCTGCTTAGACATCTGCAGTATTCTTTAAACCTAAGTGGACATTTAATACATCTCAAAAAATTCCAAGAGAAATTTACGTTCATCAGATTTCAAAGAAAAACTTGACTATCCAGTTATGCTGGTTAACACTTAAATGGGACACTGGGAGCAATATAAAACCTGATATTTCAGGTTTTAAAAATATTCTTAAATTTTAAGGATTAGCATGAGATCTTCCTGGCAGGGAGATAGGGACAGATTATCCCCATCTGCATGCTGTGGAATTTCCTACATGTTTTTCCAAAGCATCTGTTGCTGGCTGCCATCTGAAATAGGTTGGGCCGAGTAAACTAGGGTTTTCTGCCCCCATCCTCCCAAATGGCATTTTCTGTGCTTCCAAATGGAGATGAATTTGACTGGGGGTTTTTGTTGATTATTTTCTCTGCACTGTTCAGCACCTAGTCTGAGATTTATGTTTTCTGGAGCTTATTTTGGTTGTCTTTTTCCCTAGTTTTATTAAAGTGTTATCTCATCACTACAATATGAGTTGCAACCAATAAATTTTCAGCCATTCGTACTTACTTTACCAGAAAAAAAATATTTCTGTGTTTCAGTCTCAGTGCCTAGAGTATTTGCTTTTTTCTATTGTTCCCTCTCACTTCCTCAACCAAATAATGAGGTTCTGTAAAAGTAAGAGCTGTAATGGGGAGTACTTCAGAGCAGCAGTACTTCAGTAGCTTCCACTGCTCTAAGGAAACACATGCCTGGATAATTTGCAGCAGAAACCAGCTTTCTTTCTCGTAAACAATCCCATAATCTCCCAGCAGTTTACTGATAGATATGAGGATTCACATCTCCAACAGATAAATATTCAAAAGACTCTTTGGATTCCCAGATCACTGCCATGATTTCCTGGTTATATTGCAAAGAAGTAATTAAACAATCCGCTATGTGACTAAGACTTTTACCCAAGTATTTGCAGTAGTTGTTTTGGGTTTAGTGTATGCGTGTATTCTCATCTTACATGCGTACATTAGAATACGTAGACCAGCAGAGGGTTAAAGAGAGAATTGTTGCAGGAGCTTTAAGTTCAGAACATTTAATTAACTAGAGCTTCAGAGAAAGCTAAAGAAAAAAAATGCTGCAGGCTTGACAGCAGTACTGGAAATCCCAGTCACCTCCAAGCCTGTGTATTCAACTACAACTCCAGCAGCTAGTAACAACTTATTTTCAACAGATGATTTCTAATTAAGCGCTTTGAAACATATTTCAATTCTGGGAAAAAGTGAACGTGGAACTAAAATTCCATCATGCACATCCTTGTTCTTTAATAATGGTAATGTAGCAGTTTTGTCTGGTATTTCTACTTGTTGGATTATTCTAACACATCCACATACATGCTCATCTCCTTTAAGTTGATGAAACAGAAAAAAAAGAAAGAAGATAAAGCTCTTTTTACATAATTTTACCCAATTTTTAGGAAGATTTCAGATTCGTGATGAAGACACAAGGCTTTTGTAATGGATATAGGTTCCACACTGGAGTGTAATACCCTTTTTACGGTATTACCCCCGACTTCCGCAGTCTCAGTTTCTCAGATGCTCTAATCATATCCCAGAGTGCCAAATACAATTTCCAGCACTTGCCAGTTTTCCAGATTTACAACAAAAGAGCAGCAGCCCACTGACCTGTTATCTAAAGGAGAAATTATAAAATGTGCCAGCTGGTGTCAGAAGGCGTACATCTACAAGAGTAAGAACCTAGGGGACATCTTGAATGAAAATAAGCATCTGAGCAGTTGAGAGTTTCACACATCAGAGCTCGTTCACAAAGGACCATCTTAAAATTAATCATCCGGTTTATAGGACATTTGTGACCAGCGAAAGCTGAATGAATAAGATACAAGTGCATGACACCTAGAAAGTGTAGGACCTACAGACAGTACAAAGTAGCACTGTTAGTTTACATGAAACCAGCGAGCAGGTAAGTTAATAATTCACTACTAATTAATTTTCCAGCTGATTTGTAGGGCTTCATCTTGAATCTGATTCACTTTTTTATGTTTTTCATTTACTGTTACTGTTGCATCTAAAGATATAACTAATAAGTAGGCTATGAAATATGAATATGAATAAGGCTATGAAAATGGAACAGATTAATTAATACTACAGGTAGGATGGATCTCAATGATATTAGGTACTTAAAAGTCAGTTGTCCAAGTCTTGGGTAGATCCCAAGGGTAGGAGGAATGTAATCCTCTCCTGG